AGGTCGCGCACAGTGGAGCTGCTACCTAAGGATGTGCCATTGAGAGTTAGGGAGTTAGGTGATATATAGTGCAGCGGTGAGAGAACATTGCACTTCGTTGGTGAGAATTCTAGTCTCCAAATATCTCACCAATCTTCAATAGCGCGGTCATACTGAATAATTGAGAGGCCATTTTGTGTGCAGCTAAGATCGAATGCAAATAACACTTTATATCATCGGTAACTACATATGGAGTGCCGTATCTAAAAACCTAGAGAACGTCATTAATGTATAACAGAAACAGCAGAGGATCAAATACACTGCCTTGAAATACTCCGCTAATTACGAGTGCCCTTTTGGAAGATGTATTGCCTAGTTCTACTGACTGCGTTCGGCTAGAAAAAGACACAAATCAAGAAAGATGGCTAGAGACACTGATCGCAGCTAGTTTCGTCAACAGTCCATTGTGTGGAACCCGGTCAAACGCTTTTTTCATGTCCAAGAAGATAATGACTAGCGCTTGCCCCGAGTCATTGGAGTGCGTCGCGTAGTTTAAGCATTCAAACTTGCATGTTTGGAAAAATTTAGCCGACAGAAACCGTGTTGGGACCTATCGATGAAGTTGCGCTGCAGTAGGAAATGTAGCATTCCCTCCTCGACTATCCTTTCCATAACTCTGGACGCAAAGAGTGTGTGGCTTATAGGACGATATTTTGGCGACAGCCTCATTTTTGACGTGGACCGACTATCGAGTGCTTCCGTGTGGTTGGGTAGTTTTCGCTCGTCATAGAGAGGGTGAAAACGTTAAGAAGGATTGGCATATCCGGGCCTCCGAGTAATAGTAGGGAAATGGGACTCTGTCAGCACCGGGGTTGTGTGACAACTTCAGTGAGCGTAGAGCTCGATTGAACTTGTTCGGGTTGAAGTCAATAGTGTGAATGCGACCGTCTGTAAATTTTGAAATCGTAGTTAGCAGTAACAGATTAGTGCTGATAAAGGCATCACAGAAGTGTGCGTTAATGAAATCACACAACTCTGCTGCGTCAGCTATAACCGCAATATCGGGAAACACGAGTGAGGTAATCCGCAGGTTGTTGTGGCCATTGCGATTTCTTATAAGTTGTACAAGTGGCAGCCTTGCTCGCACTGTGCATTGCCGTGCGCCCAGCTAAAGTATGTAAATGACTGCGAGTTTCTCCATTCGACTAATATTTTGTCCAGACGAATTATGAGGTGAAAAATTTTCCTATTCTTGTAGCGAGAGCGCATTTTCTTAAGCTAAGTGGTAATTTCACGCGTGTGGGCGTTGTCGAAATTTTGAGGTCTCCTTGTCAAACTCTGCAATGGGGTTAGGATATCGAGTCAAATCATGAAGTTATGGTGCAGTTCACAGGTCACAATGTTCGTACTAGTTGCCCAGAAGAAAGCGTCCCAAGGTGCGGCACGGAGAAGTGAGGAGAAGGCCGCCCAATTCATATGCTGGAGGCCTAGAAGCAGTGTAGATTGGGCTAACATGATGACGGAATTTGAGAAGCTTAAATGATAGCCCCACAATCTCGTGGTCACTGCCCGAAATGTTGTCTAGCACGCTGACACTTGCATGCGCGATACCGTTGGTGAACATTAGGTCCAAGGTGTTGAACTGTCTTGTGTGTGCGCGCACATGCTGAGTCCAGTCATGTGTGAAGACAGTATCTACGAAGGCCCTATACCTGGATGCTGCTGATTGACTACGCCACGAGATGTTGGGACACATTGGAGTTTCCGCCGATTATTTTATGACGAGCGGGGAGGAATGAAACTTCATGAAAGAGCTTCGTCAATTCTAATACTAGTGGGATGCGGTGGATTGTAGATGCAGCCTATCAGGATGTCAACTTGACCTCCTATGGCCTGAATCCAGACAGAATCTTCGGGATCTCCAAGTGGTATGGTCTGAAAAAATGCCGCGTGAAATTCATTGCTGACGTATCTAAGACAATCGTCGCCACGTTGATTGATGCGTCTGATAAAGCAATTCATGTACCCAGGAGTGTGCGGCAGAGTATCAGACGTATCAGCTGCGTGCCAAGTTACAGTTATCAGCACTACATGCGAGCTGGACAGAAGCATGAGGGGGGGGGGTAAGGAGGTGCAAATTATTTTTGGTAGATCTATAGCAGAATCCTTCGGTCGCTCTAATGTCAGGTTCGTCCCGCCTCAATGATAAATCGTGAAAAGATGAATCTAAGGACGAGATATTCATTTATTATCGACTTGTAAAATCCCGCTAACTGAAGGCACCGTAAAAATAGTTCTAGCTATGGGAAAGGTCTAGTCACCAGCCGATACGCAGCAACGCTCTTCGTGGCGGAAAAACCGGAAGCGCGCGAATGCGATTCGTCTGTGTGACTCAAACACACGTAGTCATCATGCGAACAGGCAAGCTTTCTAAGTTATCTAGGTACAGAATTATATTATATTTTACTGATATTTTTCACAGACAAACAAGACAATCTCCAGGTCACTGCAGATCGAGCTTTAAAGAGGAGGATAGTATACGATTCGGTCGAATTGGTCTGGATTGGTCTGCCCAGCATCGCACCTGTGGTACTTCGTTGAGGTGGGAGGTTTTTTTGTAAGCATGCGTTGAAGTGCATGATCGTTGCACCGGCTGAAGCTAAGGTACGAGGTTGGCAGAGGTCAGGGATAGGATGTTGAAGAGGAAGGTAAGATGAATTCGGTTGTGTATAAATTTGAGTAGAGAGATCAGACACGTGGTCAAGGGTAGTGTGGGTCAAAGACGTCGTCTAAGTGGCTGGATCAGGCTGGACGGCGTCAGTTGCATCATGTCCAGTAGTCGGGTTAGGTGATATAGCGCCGTATCTTGATCTAGGCATGCTTGGTTAGGGGGTCCGCAACTTGTAGCGTTCCGTAAACAGGGGGTTACGGGAGATGTCTGGGCGATTCGCGGAGTGATCGTATGTGATGGCCGAGTTACGGGTTCGTAGGGCTCATAAGACCATTTGTGTGCGGTGTTTGTGACACTCATAGAGTTAAGATATCTATGTGGTCGTTGTCTATGTGGCATTGTGATTCGACCAGCAGCGAAATCCAACTTGCTCGGAATGGTCATACGTAGCGTGAGGCTTGGAGTGTTGAGTAGATACTTCTGGCAACTAGGCTGTTCCAGTTTGGTGGTTACATTAGTAGGCTTTGGCCCATAATAGGGAGGTGGGAGTTTTGATATGTCCGTGTGAACCGACTGGGTGTTTTGGTTAATCGGTAACCACAGGGAGTTTGCCTTGGCTATGTTGGAATGTTTGTGTGTTGCACCTTTGCTGTACCGTTGTGGCTTTGATGGAAACTGAGGAGTCTTAGCAATCAAACGTCGTGGGTTAGGGTTGCTAGACGTTGGCGTCCGACCAGTGAGAGATTGCGTTGAGTCGTTTATGACCCTGGCAAGAGGAGTGTAAAATGGCAGGAAGTCAATGCTCTCAATTTCTGATTCCGTGTCACACATGTCAGATAAGTTAAATGAATGCTGACAGTGTTGTGTCAACGGCTGCGCTGGTTGTTGCTGTCAATGAAACAGCCTAGGTTTCGGTACTATTTATGCGTTCTGACTGAGAATTCGAATTTTAAAAGTGCACTGATAGGGTATTTTTAACTGAGGTAACTAGACTGTAGGTGACATTTCTTTGTCGCTCCTGAAGTAAAACTATTCACTTTCACTTTGGAAGAATGAAATTGTGAAACTTGTCCTGCTCCTTCGCCCCCAATTTTCGCAGAAACAGCCTGCGCTTCCATGCGTCTTCAGCATTGGAAAATTCAGACCGGAAAATATCTTCGTATCTCCTTAACCAAGACTCGGAGGTGACGCCGGCATTTGGATCATATTGATATCCACAAATACTCTTCGACGCAACATCCGCTTAAATGCGCTGCTTTTCGATGCTTGGTCTTGCCTGCTGCACAACCAGGCGCTGAAGATTTTCGATCAACCTTGATTGGCTTTCTTCAAATTGCTTTTACTGGTGCTGGAGAATAGAGGCCAATGCTTTCATTGAAACCGACATTATTGGGTTCGTCACTTCAAAAGCCTGTCGCCAGTTGTTAAGACTACCGCTGTATTCCAATTGGCTGTGCGCACCATCGGCATGTGCGTTGCTATACTCATGGCTTCACTCCGATTAGCTGTTCAACTCCAGCCCCGGATTGATTGACAAGAACAACAATGGTGGACCCTTGTACCGTGTATTCGCCGAACGAGAAGACAAAACGCGGGGCATATGGATTACGTTTATAGGTACTGGGCGACCTTTCCTTTTCTTTTTTGCTTACCAATAATAGTATCAAAATCTTCAGGAACATTCTCTCTCCATTGATAAAAGAGACTGAAGAAATCTTGGCAGAATCCATTGGTTCTTGTCGAAAACAGACGCCACCGGTCGATTCGTTAAGAAGTGCCTTTCCTAACACTCCCCGTTCGAAGTCCACTAGCGTACGATTTCAGCCTGGGATTGACTTGCTAAAGTGAGACCTCGCAAGTTCTTGGGTCTTTCACGGTTCGGCATTTCGGATCTGCCTTCATGATTCACGGAAACTCCAAATGCACGCTACCTATATCCACAGCCTCTTCTCTATGGCGTGCACACAACACACAAACACACTGACCAACTTAGTGTGCGGCTCCACCCACTTTTTAGAGCTCTTTATTCAAGCGTACTATTTCCGTATATGGTTGGCACCTAGTCCTGCTTTGGTAGTTTGATGTAAGCTCCGACCTTAGGCTTTGCACACAAATTGTCAAAAATAAACGCATTGCGAAAGCTAGAACTGCTCTGAGGCTGAGACATCTGTGGCGTCAGAAGGCGACTAACTTCGGTCTGGAAACCGTATATACGAAGCCACAGTAAGGACCACCCTCTCCTAAGTAAAACTTGTTCCCTTCGGTCTGAAGACCTGGAGTGTCTTCTAGTCTGACGATCCTTACTTGAGATGCGTTACTGGTGTCGGATTTCACTAGCGTGTCCGGAACGATGATGTGCTTACCACAATACTTGGCGGATCTAACCAACTTAGTTTGGTACGTGTTCTGTGTTCGTGGTTACCGCTTACCGGATGTTAGATTGCGGGAGGCTCTAGGTGAGTAAAGTTGACTTGGTAGCTATAAATGCAATCACTGCCGATTAAGCTGGGTGTTTTTGGTCCGCCTCTCCCCCCTTTTGGAGCCAACAGAACCTGATCTGTGTTGGACTCGAGACTACAAGACATGGCTCGCAGTCGACACCATTGACGCCCTTGTTGTCGTCTATTCAGATTGCAATTTGTTCCTACGCTGTTTCCCGTGGTGTACTGGCTGGATATTACTTAAGGCGATGGAAATCACAGGGAAGTTGTCTCACCGATAGCCAGCTGTTTGCTACAGTGTTTTGTTAGTGTCTGCGTTTTGCCGCTGTATGTTTTCTCAAGGCATTTATGTCCGCACACAGCCTAAAGTTAAGATTATCTTGTAGTCTGAGGGCGTGGGTTAGAGCCTGTGTAGGGGCAGTGTGATCCTGGCAGTAGCCTCAGCCGGTGGTGGTTGCGCGGCAGCGATGCGTCGGTACTGCGTACCGGCATACTGCTGATGCCTTTTAGGTTTTGCTCTGAGTCCTCGTTCTTCCCGTCCCATTGCTCTTTATTCCGTAGGTCATCGTGATTGTACGGCAGCGAAGTTTCGGTTAAAGTGGCTGATGTACTGCTGCTTTTAGTTGCTTCTATTCTTACTGCTCAACGAATCCTCTGAGATTCTTGTTACAGCAGCTCATGCGTCTGACTCTTGATCTCGACGTCTGGTGTATTGAGACAGCTGTTTCTTGAGTTCAGGCGCCCTGGCAGCTAGTATATATCCATCGTCGTTTTATCTGTCCTCGTATGGGCTTTAGTAGTTGTAAACTGCTTATGTGTTTTTAGGCAGTTACTCGAAGTTATCGCTTTTTCGAGAGAGGTGTTTTTCGCCTCTTCATACAATTATGTGGCTACATGATAGTGCCGTAGGGTTTGGATTCTAGTCCACTAATCGACTAAAACCTGAACCCGTTAGGCTTAAATTCATCTCATCAGCGTATAGAGGACGTTGATTAGCAGCACTTTTTCTGCTTACGTGTCATTTGAGTTGCATCTATCTTTTTGGTAGAGATTTCCGTTGGGGGACTCAAGCAGTTATCGTATGTGGTATTTTCAGGATGTAAAATTATGCCGATCATTTTACAGGGCTCCGGTAACACAAATCTTTTGTTTAAAGTGTCCGATTAAGGCACGCAACGTCATCATTAGCGTTTTTTATAGTTTTACTGGTTCTTCCCAGTTGCTCACAAGCTAGATTCATCTAACCCCATTATGGAAGAGCATCAGACGATCGTTTCGTTCTGCTGAGACTCGTTAGTGGTGCGCACTCTCTCCGTGTCTTACTGGGGATCGAACCCATGGCCACTAATAGTTTCCACTTATTAGCCAGCAGCAGATGCCACTGTGCCATGGGGGCCGGAGTCAGACCGTCTGAACTTGCAAGCGTTAACGTTTTAACAATATCTGTAGTCTACCTTGATTGGGAAGCGATTGCGTCCAGTATTTTGACTTTGAAAATTTGAATTTTCAAGGTATTTTTAACTAATGTAACTAGACTGTAGGTGACATTTCTTTGTCCCTCCTGAAATAGAACTATTTACTTCCATTAGAAGTGTGCTTCCCACTTTTTGGCTACCTGATATTATCTGCTGCTTCTGCATAAGGATGTCGGGGTTTATTTGATTTGTTCTTGAAACTATTCACTGGGCGTCGCAAGAAGGCTTACTCTTTGCTTTCCCCGTCTCTTCATACAATAGCGACCTATTTTTGACCGATCGGTGTTGATGCATTGTGAATACCTTGTTCCTGAATGCTTAGTGGTCTGCGTCCTTTCTCCTTCCTCTATCTCTCTTCATCATTAGCATATTCAAGTTTGTTGCTTGCAATGGTTGTGACCGCAATTAGTAAGTGAATAGCACTGTTGCCTTTTTATCGTTCCGGTGACACCATCACGGCATCCGCAACGTAGGCGTGAAAGCTTATTGGTAATCTCTGAGCCACGAGCGCTCTCAAGTAGTCAACTTATTGTGCCATCTCGTATCCAACATTTTGTGGCTGTCAACCGACTCAGTCGATCGAATGGACATGATCGAGCGATTATGCTCGACGTACTTTTTGCTTCAGCTGTTGTCGATGTAGCAGTTTGTTTCGTCTAAACCAAAGGAAGTTCCCTTCGACTAGACGTTTGAACAGCGTCTTAAACACATTGGTGGTCTGATAATGCGGTTTTTAGTTACTCTTGTCAACCTAAGCGTAATTTCAATTTTTATAGAGTAAAGCGGCCATTCTCCGCTCTAACTTGAAACTACTCAAATTCGTGCTTGAGTGATTACCACGTTTAGTTTTCGAGTTATTCGTGAACTTGTCACATACATCAGGTGACAACTTGAGTTGATCTTGAATACTTGGCTATTCATGTACTCTGCTTCTTTTCAAGATGACGTGCGGGGCTCACAGATGAGGCAACCTTTGAGTCTCTGTATTCTGAGACCAAAGCCTGAGCCCAAAGATGCTTACTCGGCAGCTGCATCTCCAGACAGTGAAGTGACTGATGCCTTCCCGGATTCTCATGAGAATGACCAACTGGATTCCAACGCTCAATGTACTTTCGATCTGTCATATAAAACTGAGCAAGACACTCCAGTGATTCCTTCGGACCAACGTTGCAGATCCACAATTGGGGCAGCGAAGCCACTTTACGTTCCAGACCAAGGTATCAGTTAGTTGTTTGTACGCACATGTTATTATACATGCACTTTCTTGCTTAACTAAGTGTTCGATTTATGTAGTCCCACAGCATATACATGAAGCTAATAGGACAGAACAACTGTAGTTAGGGGAATGCCTTTTCATTTGGTACCCACAACTAGGCTTGCTCGTGTTCCTAGGGTCTGACCAGACTTGTTTTGTGGAATTTGACAGACTAAATTCGCGAGTCTAACAGTAGGATATGTATCGATGCAGTAGGCGGAGGCAGACGTCAGTGCACCGACTCATCGAGCATATAGATAGAACGGAAGGAGCCAAATGTGAATGCACAGTAGGGATTAGTAGAACAGGAATAAATTTATTATTACTCGACTTCAGTGGAAATTTGCGCAATAGATGGGGATTATCTCTCGGGTGGTCAAGGTTTTCTCTCCTGGAATAGCTGTTCGGGTTGTTAGAACTCGAATACGGAACAATCGTGTCGTTAGATTGTGCCGTGCGCAGCGGCGAATACTAGTATCTTTTGTTCTCTTTGCTTGCTTACAGCGCTGCGCACCAGTGTATCCACCGGTACTTGCATAGCCGCCGCGTCAGACCCAAAGAGATCTATGTCGTCTGCGCACTCAAGGTTTGTCAGTTGGTCACCTGGCAGAACTTCCTCTCTGGAATAGTCTAATGGCACAGAATTATTTTTAATCATATCAGTCTTAAAGTTGGAGAGGAAATGAACTATAGGGCAACCTGGGCGAACCGCAATTGTCGTCTAGATCCCCAGAGACAGCTTCCTGTAGACCCTGACTCGGCCTCGGGAGTCACGGATAGGCAGTGCCACAAGCTGGCTCGACAGCAGTCGAAGGTGGCTTTCTAGTCAAGGAAAACCACCAGAGTCGGTCTCCTGTAAGTGTGTATCTGCTCTAACACTTGTCGAAGGGTATATATATATGTTCGGAACAAGCACCACCCAGCTTGACAGTTATCACACAGTTCTCACGGGGAGCACTAAGTCGTCGAGAAATGATACCCGTGAAAAATTTGGCGGCAAAGGTAATAAGCTTAATGCCTCAGGGATTTTCGCACAAAGTCCGTTGATCTGTTTTGAAGATTGGCACGATAGTTGACAATTGCCAGTCTGAAGGTGCCCCTTCAGTGTATCAAATAGTGTTGAATAGAGCAGCAAGTCTGATCAGCAGAGTCACCTCAATCTTTAAGCGCCGATGGAGGAAGGTCATTGAAGCACGACAACCTCATGTGGAATCTCTTCTGACTTGGTAAGGGTGACGTCAACATCCCGCGTCGGCCCAGGTCATTCAGCATGTGGCGGTGTCGCAGCATGTTTTCTAAACTGCTCTACAAAATGTTCCACCCAACGGGCTGGTTGAAGCGGCTGATAATGGGTCATGTGTTAGTGTTTCTCATCTATGTTTCACTAGGTGATGGCGCTCTTGGATCCGTATTCTAAGCGGGCTGGAAGATTACTTGGCTGTTTCTAATTGGCTTTCTCCATCTCACGAGCCCTCGCCACCTAAAAGCGGTTTCGGTTATTTAGGTTTCGGTACGTTACGGACCTGCTGAAGCACATTGTCTGTTTCCGTGAGTCGACCAAACTGATCGTTGCTTCAGAATTCCATTCATTTCAAGCTGGGATTGTAGCGGGCATTGAATGCATTTTCTACGGCATACTTAAGAGGATTCCTCATTTACGCAACCTAACTGGAGCCGTTGAGTTAGAGCGAAGCAGCTTAATCTTGCGAGAATTCGTCTTACTTCTTCCAGAGCAGCGTTGCTGCGTTCCTACCGGGTTCAGTGAACATGGGCGCTAACCAGCCGTCTTTCTCTGGGACCATGTGAAGAGGCAGCGGTTGCCTAACGTTTTTCAGCTGAAGCGTGTGTTTGAATTCTGCTCTTTTGTTGAGCAGTGTGGCTTCTGCGCTGGTGGCCGGATGGTTAAGGCATACGACTTGTAGCCCAAAAATCACCGGTTCTAATCTGCGTAGGTGCGAGCGACCTCGCAGTATAACTAGGTCACGTGCCACCGGTGGTGGTCAAGTGGCAGTGAAGTGTCAGTGCACCGCATGGAGGTGCGGTTGGTGCTTTTCATAGACCATGACTTGTGAGCTACCACTTCCGCGAGTGATGAGTTTCCGGTCGTTATTCGTGGTAATCGCTGACGTTCAAGGAGCAGGGTTTCACAGTATATTTTTCTATTGGCGGTATTTGGAACAGGGATAAGTATCGGCCCATCTAAAAGATGATTTTGAACTCATAACGGTACACTTACTTTATCTTTGTGGCTACCCGAAGACTCGGAGGAATTCTCTACCGATAACCGTGAACAACCGTGTCAATTCATTGAAAGTTTCAGCGAAAACTAATATCCGACGCATCGTGCGCTATCCCTATTAGGTGATCGAGGGCTCTTTGGCCACACACAAACTGTGCCTGAGCTTCGACTGCTTGTGCCTTGGCGAAGATGATGCTTTTCTGCACGCTTTTTGACTGCAGTAGTGCTGCAAGATCATCTACCCCTTACGTAGAGCGTAGAACCTGGCTTGTTACCGCCGGACGCATCGGAAGCGTTGGCATGCTTGCTGTTCGGTTTACTTAAGAAGATAGAGTCGTGACTAGCAGATTGCGGGCGATATCTGTTAAGGGCACTGTTCTGCCGTTTAGGCCGATAAGCTGACGCATTGTGGCTGAGTGCTACTTGAGGATAGACTGCCTCTCGGACTTGTTTGCTTAGTGCGTGGGCAGGCTGCAATGAACGTCGATCAAGACCTGTCTAGTTTACGGCGTCGGCGTATCCTGCTTTACGATTGTTGCTAGCCTGCATCTAGGTACTGCAGTTTTTCCGTCTGGAGGACCAGCGTGGTTTGGCACCATGAGTGGTTATTCTGACATTACGACTATGCTGCTAGCGCCACTTGTTTTAACTTGTGCAATGCCTGAATATTACATACCATGGTAGCGTTTTTCCATCGTCTGTGCTAAACCATGGATGAGATAAGCGATGGTGACTCTGTGTAAGCGGTGACACCTTAAGCTCAAACCCACCTATAGATATCGGGGCAGCGATGCGCTGCATTTCGTGGAACAAGACCGAAAGGAACACGACATCCCGGCTTGATGCTGTTGAGCTGTTTCAATTGAGCCCGTGTTCTGGGCTGTGACTCTCCAAACTTACCCGCATCATCGTTTCCGACGTTCCCTCCCTTTGGATGGGCAAGCAGAATTCCATGGCAACAGTGCCACCACTGAGTTCCGAAGATGTTGGACAGTCCGGTTTTACCTCCTTTGCTAGGTTGCAGGGTCTCTGTGTTCTACCTGCAACTTATAAGTTTGTAAACCAACTACCTGGACTATCTTCTGTCAACTTGGAGACAGCTAGAGTCAGCGTAATTGCACTGTCTCAGATGAATATTTGATTTAAGCATGGCACAATATTTGGCACACTGCACTAGGCGACGGCAGAAGTGATGCATTGAGTACGCTTTAAAGACCACGACAATGAACGAACTCCCACTTGCGAATCGGAGTCACTGATTTGCCGGGCTAGTGAGTCATAGCCCTGATGTGGGCGCTTAATCGAGTGCTCGTTTCGTAGGACGCATGAAATAAACTCGGTGGACTTGATTCGTGTTGACCATAATACGACGTGAATGGTTGTAGTGGGCACTAGCGAATATTGAAACACCGACTCACCGAGCAAGCAGATGTAGGCCTTTTGGGGGGGGGGTTGTATTTAAACACGAAGTTATCAAGTGCTGTGGAACCATAATCAAAGTATACGTGGAAGCTGGGAATTTCCTTCACGCTTTTACAGACCCAAAGCTAAACATCTAGCGCGCCTATTTGCGAAGTCTTAAGGTTGGTGCTCTTACGCTGTTTGAGATCTGATCATTTGTTGGTCGAATTCCACCACTTTTAGCTGACAGCAGAAAGAGATAACCGCTTTGTAGGCATGCGAAGCAGGTGTACTGCCCACCGCTCTGCTTTGAAATTGTGCAACTGAGCGGTCGACAGAGTCTCTGACTTGAAACCCGTCGACAACCGTCATCGTCAGGGGTGCAGTGTTATATCATAAGCCATCAATACTTCGAAGGCGGCGGTGATCAGAAATAGGTTGTTTGTACATGGAGGGTTTCAGCGATGCTTCCTCGCATCGCTGCCCTGGAGGACGCGTTTCGTCCTTGTTTGGACCCATCAGGTAGAGGTAGCCTCAAAAACCCGACTGGGCCAGTAGACTATCTGTGCAGCTTTTCACAACTGGGCCAATTTTCGCGGCTGCAGTTGAAAATGGTCCATATCTTATTATTGTAGCCTCGGTGTTCCAAAGGATGGCTGAGGTCACTTCATCGACAAACATGACGACAATTGCCGAACGGAATCCGACTTCCAGAAATGAGCAGAGACATTGTTTGTCTGTGTGATGAACTACAATTCTGATTCGACACAGTCGGCACTGCAAATTCTACGGGCTCAATTAACATCGTTTAGACGGGACAGCCGCTGAATTTCTCACACAATCCTGTCTATGTGGTTTTCCTGCAATCAGAGCGCTTTATCGAACCGCCTTCCCGTCTAGTCAACAAAACAATCTAAAATGCCAGACATGATCGTGCCAGTAAAAACGTGCCTCGCGTTGTCGAGACTACAAATTTTCTTTAGTGCACTTTATTTATTTAATTATTATCTTTTTTCACATGTGAAACTGGCTTTGGGATGAGGGCTGTCGAGCACTTTGAAGAGAAACTGTTTGATCTGTACATTTGGCGCAAACACTAAGGTGTCATCCGAATACCGCCAGTATTATCAGATCTGGCTGAGGTGGGTCCGCTCCTCGACTCGACCGTTTCCACGAAGATGTCAGCCAGTACCTGGACAGGCGGACTAGCCATGGCCACACCAAGTAGCTGCCCACATGCCTGATCCTCGAATAAGTAGTGTACATATTCTTTAGTACTTTGTTTTATAACTGATCCACAAGTGATGGTTTATTCACTGAATGCGCATCTATATTACGCGCACTCTAAGGGAGGATAGAGGCGTTAATGAGTTGAGCGATGAGTTTTGTTCTTTGCGATAGTCGTTCGAGTCACGCCTCCCATGCTTTTTGGGGAACTCACTGTAATCCCAGTACATCGACTGTTCAACATAGACTCAAGTCTTTAATGCCATTCTTTTCTATCCCTTAGAAAACTGCAGAGGGTTACCTAAAACTGCAACAATAACCGCTTCTGTGTTCCTCTTCGACCAACAGTCTGAGATGACATGTGCCCTACGACTACAGTTCTTGGCTGAAATGCATGCACAGTATCTGACAAATCGGTGTGAAGTGATGTGGTCAGAATCGGTGGACGGAATGATGCTTAGGGTCTGAGAGAGGGATGTGGCGGCTAATCGGATGCGACCGAATCAGGCCTTTACTTCGCGCACTAGTTTGGTCCCCCGCGCCTTACCAGGTACTTAAGAATTAGCAGCCAATTTTTTATTTTACGCATCCCAGCAATTAGTTTTAATCGTTGAGATCCTCGTTTGTCCTAACCTTTTTTTATTCTAATATGTGTGATAGTTCGGTATTTTGCGCTTATTTTTCTTGTGGTGCTCGTTTACAATTACCCGCTTTCTACTTTTAAATTCAGAACAACGCGACCATATATGTGTGCACTGTGGCAAATTTTTTGCGCAAAAGGGCTATTTACATTTGCACATCAACTCTCTTCACTTGAGTAAGTGCGCAACTAATATCACTTGCTTTTAGACTAATCGGTACCGTATTCTGTTCTCCTTGTACACCTCTGTTCTGTAAAAAGTCAGATTTGTCAAACTAGCTTTTGATGTGAAACAATTAAGTCTGTCTTATCGTTTAGCTCACATTCTTCTCTCTACTGAAGCCATCGTGAATGTGTGCTCTAGTGGAAATGTTTCATTTGTTGGCTCATCCATTAAGGAGGCTAAGAAGTGTCCGCACATCTCTTTCCTACTGTTGATATTCACATTCAGATACGAATTTGTTATGTTCAAGTCTGAACAAAGAACGTTGAATGCACACCTGCACGTAGCGCACTCGTGGCCGGTCACCTCTGCCTCTAGTTTTACCTGTTTTCATGTGGATGACTAGTGTGCCTACAAAGGAATTGTGGGTGGCTTGGGTTTCATCATCCGGAGCTCCGTCCACATGTCCATCATAAGCCTGGCGAAACAAGGTTGGGGTGTACGGGAATGGGATGTGCAGTCGGCTCGGGTCTGGTCGATGTTTTTTCATCACCCTCATCGCTGGTACACAATTTTGGAAAACAAGCGTATCGGACGGAACATAGGGTGGCGATTGGGTCTCATTCGATCCCTCGATGAAATTAATTCTATAGCCTACGGGATCGCGAATACTTTTCATTTCACATAGCAACATTCTTGGTTGTGGACCCGCATGTTCGATATCTTTCCTTACAGTCGCATCAAACGCACCCAAGCTTAGCGCATCATGCAAACGCTGACTTCAACCATGCGGCCACCCGCATTCTCCCTTGCACGTTTAGCTGAATTGCAATGATATTGCAACCCAACTGTCACCTCCCTCGTCTCATCTGCATGAACTAGTCGATGATTGTTCAGACTGTTGTCTGTGTACTTGTGTTCATAATTCCCATCTCGGTGGCCGTAAAATTCCTCGTTTTTTTGAGGAGCCCACCGTCTTCGCAAGAAAGCATGGAAAGTGCTAGTGCTTTTCATTTACGTGGTGTTCTATTGCTTAGCCTACGCCTTACTTGCGCGAAACTGCTGCTGCATCCTCAAATGTGGTTAATGCGGCCTCGCACAGATTACCCTGGTCATCCAACCACGTCTCAGCGCTCCATTAATGGTGCCGGTTCCATAAAAAAGCGCACACGAAAATTGCGCACGGATATAAATGCGCACACGGAAAATTCCGCACCCGGAAATTGCGCATACATAACAACGCGCACACGAAAATTTGAACACATTGCAATATTCCAGTTCGACTGCGTGGTACATACTCGTCTGCTATACTTGCCAAAGCCTCTGATTAATTCAGAATATTCAACGGAGTATTCTTATCACCTGCTGTATTTTCCCGTAGCCTCTGCGATTCGGCTGCTCGAACAAAGTTGGTGACCGCGTCCCGTTGAGGTGGACCATGGCATGTATCAAATTAAACTATTGCACATTTGATCGACACTGCCTGACGAATGCTACTGTACATTGAAGATAGGTGGCAGTTTGCGGATTTCCCTGGTTTACTTGAGTGTGATATTTGACATTGGAATCTAACTAAATTCCTCCATGTTACACTTAGGCAACCCATACGCAACTTTGCTTATAAGTTCAATTCGTCTGACAGAACCGAAAAACACGCCCATGACCGGATCTCTCGCACATCGGTGGCGCGCGCTGCTAATCCCACTTCGTTAGCCAGCACGGCTTACCGGTGTTATAGCGGATCGCTCTTGTACGCGCACATGATTTCGTTCCTATGGACTGATGTCTGGGCCCGTCGCTATGTACTGCCCGCGTGGAAAAACGCCCACTTTCACATTCAAATGTCACTCAAATCATTGTTATCGAGGCATTGCTATTAAAGTATGTAGTTATATGGGGCAGATATTTTCAGTTATACAATAAGCGCACAAATTTCATTGTACGAGTAATGTTTGCCGATCTTGGTAACTCATTTACTCGTAGTTTATACCTTAGCGATACCATCGATGTTCGTTATTGCAGGATTGGCAGTCTCCGGAGGTATTTAACTTTGTCTGCGTCTGTTCATAATCTCTGACACAACATGCGACCGCATGTTGGAGCTTATCATATCTTCTTCACCTCTGGGCGATCTGCCTGCGCATTAGCCAGTGCTATTCTTTAGTCCCTCAAACAAACACCAGATGCTAGGATGACTACAGTGAAATAAGGGTTTCATGGCATTGTGAAATCCCTCACAACGATTTGTAATTTTCGACGACATCTCAAGGGCTGCATCACGTTGCTTTCACGCTCGAAGTTGAAATTCTGGCCCTGTCTGCTACACTCTCGATGTCTGTGGAGAAGTCTGTTAGCACCGCACCGTAAGATTTTTCATTTTTTCATTTCTTACATCACGGATCTGGACAAAAGTTATTACAGTCATCAACTTGAGTTGCAGTCTTATGTTTACATCCACTTCAAACGCAGTCTTTAGGCCCACGTTGCTCATTTCCCTGATGGGGCTTTGGCATAGGTGGAAATAGCAGGCTTTGAGTTCGGTGTCTGGAAAGTAATCCTCGCTACGTTCATGGAAGCCCTCAAACTTATTAAAACCTTACGCATCAAATCAGACAGTAGCCACTTCAGTATTTCAAGCGTTCTAATGTAAGTCTCGGTGTTTTTTATGCAACATGATCTAGATACAAGGCAGATAACCGTTGCCCACGTTCGCTTGTTAGGTATAGGCTTGATAAAACATGCTGGGAACTTTATCAAAAGTCCCGTCTCTGTAGATTACGTCTACTTTCTATGCACGTAGCAGCTCTTTATCACATAATGCAAGTATTCTGCCTAGATCGTGCACCAGTTCGCAGCACTGTTCAGAGATCAAAATGTGTGGTTTTTGGACAAGATAAATGACCGCTTTTTCTGTGATTCAGCAGAATTCTCGCAAGAGATGACTATTTGGACATATGGGCCGTCGCCTCGTTCCTCAACCATTACAACGCAAGGTGTCCCCTTAACTAATCTCATGCCTAGCATCATTTTGATTTTGACAGCATTGGCTTCTGTTTTTTGAGGGCGTGAGACTTGCAAAATGCGTGGTCGGTTGTTGTAAGATGATGTGGTCTCTTGTCTTCATCATTGAGAGGCACTTCATAAATCAATTATGCCCAAATCTCCTAGTAACAGTTCCATTTCTAGTGCGAAATGCGAGCTATTCAAACCTCAATTAAGACTTAACTCGGTTGCCCCTCTGACCTGTTGAATTCTCCATTGATAACGCTTCAACAAAAAATAGTTATGTGTCATTTTTTAATGTGTAATATTATTTTGCAAATCAATGAAACGTCTCATACGACATTTTATCGCCGCAAATTTCAAAATAGCTAGAAGGGACAACAATTCTGGTTATTGGAACTAGTCATTTCACGTGTCCCGTCAATCTTTTACATACAACTCGTGCGCTGATTCGCTTTTTCATACGGCGCCAGTCAAAGAGCACCATCATTGGTTAAACATTGGCGATCGTAGGTCATCTGATACCGGCCAGAGTTCCACTCTGCGGAGCTCAGTCACTAACCTCACCAAGGCAAGGCAAGGCCAGTCAAAATCTCGACCTGTTCGCACCATATGCGTTGGAGCCGCCGAATCCCTCAGGCTTCGGAAAACTGCGGAAAGTGAGCAATGCTCTGTCTGTTGCGTAATGTGAATGAATCACGGGGACTTTGGTCCGGTAGGGTAGTCAAGCATGTGCCAAGTAATCAAACCAGCATATTTCGGTGTGCACAATCTGTGTGAGTTTTTCAGTGCGCTTTTATCAGGTCACTACAGGTCCCATGGCGAATGAATCCTACGGAGATCATCGTGGTTCGTTGCGTTTTGTACTTATTCATCGGTCCGACACTTGACCTAGATAGCGTACAGTTGGCTCGGATAGCTTGAGGCTGAGTTTAGTAGGAAGAGTGAGGCAGACCTGAGTTCGGTCCGTTCGAAAGACATGCGAGCGTAACTGTTTATAGTCACAAACAATCTATTTGCCACAACTGCGGCAAGGTTGGGTAGCTTGCGCATGCTTACCGCCCAACAGTGCTTCCGCATCGTGCATCTTGCTCACCACCAAACACTGTCCTGACAATGGAGAATTCCGCTTCTCGCTTCATTTCTTTTACTACCACATCGCATGTGCGCGGAAAACCTCCATACCTGTGGAACCGGAGATAGAAGATCAGCTTTGTGATGTGATTGTGCAAGCAGAAAGACGATACGGATATACATGACGAAGCAAGCGGCTAGCTTGCCGCAAACGAACAGAGCAGTTGAATGGACGCCTACGCATCTTTCGCCTATGAGCTGATTGGTTCGTGTTTGGCTACACTGGGGCGGATTTGTTTAACATTCAGAGGATGGATCTCATGAATGCAGGGGCGTCGTTAGTTATGGAAGTGACCTCTACTTATTTTCATCGAGGTTTCTGCAAGCTTCTCTGGCTATCATTTCTACTGAGCTTGCTTTGTCGGATAAACCTTTTGTCCCTGAAGAACCGAATTTTGCGATATGGTGTAAGAGAAGACCGAGTTAAGGTCGCCCGAACGGTGCTCAGTTGTTGCTTGGAGCGCAATTTGCCTTGCAAACATCTGCCCCATTTAACATGGAAGAACACAACTTGACGAATACTTGAGGAACCTGGGAAAGCAAGTGCATCGGTCTCTGGGTACTGTTGCGTCTAATTGAGCAACCGATGGCGTCTTTCCCTGCGATGTTTCGACATACGTTCTGAGGTGAAGAATGTCGCGTCCTAGAAACGAAAAGGTCGAAGACCAAGCTGATTTGTAAACAGTCCTCCGTAAATACGGCGATTTCTGCGAGGGCCAGACTAACTAGACGTATCTGCGGTATCACTTTTCTATTCGAACCAGGCGCCCGAACGAATCTGTCGAGAACTAGGTTACGAAGCTGAATATCCTGGTTCCTTCCGGTTATTTTTTGCAATTGTATGGTTGAAAGTCTCATTCTAGATGGAATTGTGCCT